CCTGTGGCACAATACTTGCAAATACCAAGCAGTTGGTAATTATGGTGATGGGCTTCGTGGGGACGGCGGCATGCATTTCAAGATAGTGCGACAAACCACCAAAGGTGGCAAAGGCCGCAAACCGACACTGGTCTGGGTGTGGTTGTGGTCTCAACCCGATCTCTGACTGGACATATCAAGTTTTACCTCCCGCCAACTACCACAGACACCATGTAGTTCCGCGGGTCGTAGGCTCAATTTAGAAGCAGAGAACCACGACGAAATCTCCTGATGTTTCGCTGTCATACCGGACCGGTCGAAGGCCACGGGACAAAAAGGGACGTCACAGTGCTTGCGCAGCCTCACTGTTCGGGTTTTGGTTTATACCGGCAGGACTGTTTTTGCACGAAGTATCGGTATTAAAGTGCTCGAAGCTTCAGGAGATCCAAGCCCCATCTGATCCGCCAGCTTCATCTGCCCAACACCTTCAAGACGAAGCATCAGGGACAGAGACACACGCGGAATTCGACAGGCGTGTAAGACATCAGCAATCATCACCTCATGCAGGCACACATGCAAGCAGAGCAAACACACACTACACCCTGCCCAGGTATGACTGCAACTCCAAACTCACACTAGTGAGAAGCCGGGGGACTAGAGTACGCAGTCCTTGGAAAATTGCCAAGCCTCGACCTGATCTACCCATGTAGCATGGCATCATAAGGTGTGCAAGTGCTTATCATGTTTAAGCTTAGACACTTATACGAGTATGTGCAGCTTGGACCGTGCTACTGTGTAGTTAAGGGGCGTTTACCTTGGTAGACGAACAGTGTTTGTCTGAGGCGAAGTTCTGGAGACACAGTGTGCCATGATAGATTCGCGCAGGTGCTCATGGAAGTGTACACACGCTGCTGAGGTTGGTTTGTAATTTAATACACCCAGGCCTGCACGATACAAGCCCACTAGTCTACAGAAACTTGCCTGCTTGATAGCGCCCCGAATCAGGGCTGTGCGCAAGCTTCGTGACTTGTTTTCCCGCAGTTCGCAGGAAGCAGAACAGCCGAACAAACCCCTAACACCCGAGCCCCAAAACTTCGAAGCCCTGAACTCCACCAGATCCCAAACTCGCAGCCCCACAGGCTGTTTATAATCAGCATTCCCCCCATTCCTCCCAGAGAATCTGATTTCTAATAGTTCACAGCAGGTTTGGCGGCACCAGGAAACGATTGAAGCTGGAGCTCAAATGTCATTTCTGGACCATGAACCCGCTAAGTCAATGGTTTGGGATTGCGGGTTCACGCTGGAAGACCGTGAGGCTCTAGGACTGAGCATGCCGTGAATGATTCCCCTTGCCGCGTCTTCGCTGCTGTCTCTGCGGCTGCGGCCGACCGACCAGCAGGCGAGATGCTCTAGAATGGATTGCAAGGACAAGAAAGAATTGAAAGCATGTTGTACTTGTTTCTGAAAGCCTAACGTCACAAGTTGGCACCGACTTGCTATTGCAATTGCTGGTTTGCTAGACTGATGGCCACCTGCAGTCAGGGATGTGTGCAGACTGCGGTGGTTTTATGTCCTCTCTATCATCCAATCGGAGACAAGCCTGTTGCAGTTGTAGCAGCAAATGACCACCAGAAGATGCTTAACACAGCGGTCGAGATAGTTAGACACATCAATCAATTCCTCAGGCTTCCTTGTTGCATTGATATTGGACAATACCCCCAGCCCCTATTCCAACCGTCTGAGATTGATTTTACAAATGAACCAACCTTGACGCTGCTCTAGAAACCTTCGTTAAGTCGAACCCTAAACCGTAAAGCCCTAAACCCTATGACCCTAAACCTTACAAGCCCTATACTTTGGTTAGGCTCATTTAGCCAGAGAGCAGGGGAAGCAAAGTAAGCTATAACTGAGGGCCGGGAAAGCATTCGTCAACCGTGGCACCTAAGCCTCACTCTCGAGAACTATCACCCCATAATTTTGTAAGCGGAACAGCCTTTTACCCTACCCCTCAAGTGCACTCTTCCATACCTCGGGGGTTCCTCTACGCCTCTTGGTTGGGGGTTAGGGTTTCGGATTAGGGGCCGAGGGGGATAGGTTTCAGGGTCAGAGGGGTTGTTCGAACGAGTCCCCCGAAAGATCTTAGAAGTTGTGGATTTGTTTTGTTGTTAAGGGGTTCTAGGGCCTGGGGTTCAGGGTTTTAGGGTTGAAGGTTCAGGGTCTATGGTTGGGTCAGGGGGAACCGGCAATACACTTCCCTATCCCTAAGGATCCATCTGCCCAAATAGTATACACTTTAGCCTCCAGGTGGTCCCTATTTAGGTACTTTGGGGCCAAAGTATATACTATTCGGGTACATGGACCCTTAGGGTATAAGAGATCCTGCCAACCTGAGGGTTTGAGGGGTTTGGCTTAGAGTGGCCAGTCGTTTGAAGCGGAGAGCAAATCACGGCAAGAAGCAACGGTTTAGGGCTTTGGGTTGAGAGTCCTAAAGCCTGAACCCTAAACCGGATCACTATTACTCGTCACCAATGTAATTTAGAGGTCGGAATTGGTGTTCGTATGCCCTCATCATACTAGTTAGGATACCCGCCCAAGAAAACTTGTTCCAATTCTGAAGGCCCTTATAAACCCTAAACCCCAAACCCTTAACCCCTAAACCCCTAAACTCCTAAACCCCCAAGCCCTAAACCCTAAACCCCTAAACCTTAGACCCTAAACCCCTAAACCGTGATGACAGGTGGAGGATGCTTTGCAACCCTTTCTGGCTGACTGGAAGCAAAGACCCCGTGATGCAACCTCTACGCTGACACTCGTCTCCAAGTTGTGCTAGGGTTTAGGGTTTAGGGTTTAGGTAGGGGTTGGGGGTTCTGGGATGCTATAAACCCTGAACCTTACACCCTAAAGGCAAGGGCTTCTAGGTTGCCCTAAAGCAGAGTGAAGATTGGGTTGGAGCTGTATCCTGCTATAGGGGTCCTGTGATTGGAGAACGGTGCCTTCAGCAACTTCCACCAAACCTAATCGCGTCCAGTAGAAGGATATCGGGCTCCGGGGGTTTGGGTTCATGGTTTAGGGGGTTCAGGGCGCAGGCGATTGCACAAGTCCTGCATCACAAAGGGTGGAAATAGGATGTAGAGTCTCTCAGGGTCTAGGCTCTCCAAGTTTGCAGATATGGGGGTTTCCGAAGAAAGGGGCCTTAATACAGTACCCTAAATAGCAGGATCCCTATTATAGGACCCCAACAGAAGGTACCCCTTACTGTCGGAAACTCCCATATGGGTTAAAGCGGTGACAACATCGCCTGAGCTAGGCGTCAGGTCTGAAGTCGCTTCGGTTTCAGGATGATATGGGGGTTTCCGAAAATGGGGGACCCTAATCTAGTACCCTAAATAATAGGATCTCTAATATAAGGACCCTGAAATAAGGTACCCCTTATTTTCGGAAACTCCCATATCATGATGCCCAACCCTTGCTCTGGAGGCTGCGATTACTACGACGACGACGAAATGTGTACTGTTGAGCTACAAGTCCTAGATCTTTGCTCCAGCGTGATGCCTGTGCGTTCAGGAGTTCGCTGGGAAAGGCGCTTCGATCGTCCTTGGCCTGGCAGATGCTCTGCGCGATGCGATCCAATAAGGCCATTGCACCTATGAAGCTGTAGACTTGAGAGCACACACACACACACGACGCATAGAGAGGATGAGTATATACATACATACATACATACTTGCATATGTAGAATTTTTTGCATACATACATACATACATACATACATACATACATACATACATATATATCTGTAATATATCTATATGTGTTTATTTTCTACTTGTTTAGATGTATGCATGCGTGTTTGTATGTGTGTTTGTATGTGTGCGTGTGTATGTATGTATGTATGTATGTATGTATGTATGGATGGATGGATGGATGGATGCATGTATGCATGTATGCACGTATGGATGGGTGGATGGATGGATGGACGGATGTATGGATGTATGTGTGTGTATGTGTATGTGTGTATGTATGTATGGATGGATGGATATATGTATGTATGTATGTATGTATGAGCTGGTGTCAAAAGTTTAGTATATGGGTTTTAAAGTAGGCGGTTCTCGAAGATGGCAAATGCTAGCGGCGACCTGTGAAACGATAGGGGCGCCCTAAAGAAGACAACCTCATTACAGCAATGTTGCCACAACCTTTGATGCTTGTTTCGTTCAAAAGAGGGTTTCGGGAATTTAGGGTTTGGTGAGGGTGTCGAGATTTTCGGGGTGGAAACTTTGGAAATCAGACCACGTCCCCACATCGGACAGAATAATGGTACCCGGACGATACCCAAAATGTAGCCCGAAGTGGCCTAGATGGGCCCGTGGCCGTCCATATACTGTCTCAGTACTATGCCAATGCCTTGGACCGAAGCCCGAAAGCCTCAAAACTGAAGTCTCCAAGCATCTCTAAATTCTTTAAACCGTAAGAGCCGATAGATCTTAAACCCCAGGCCTAGACAAACAGCTTCGCATGCTTTGCGTTTAGGGTCTAGGGAAATCAGCGAAGACACGACATAATCACGATTTTTGCAACTCGGGAAGGGCATCTGCGACATCTGTGACCGGGCTTTCTTCGTTCTTAGTACCCGGAGACTCCAAAACCCTTTAATTAAGGGTATATTCCTTAATTAAGGGGTTTTGGAGTCTGGGTAGGCAGTGGCTCGTCGCAGCAGCTCTTAGATCGTAGGGGTGAAGGCATCCCAAGGGCTCTCAAGAATACAAAGAGTACCTACTTTGAGGTTTAGGGTTCGGGTTTAGGATCCGGGCGACGAGGCAAGCCCGCTGCAAAAGGGATTAATATGGATTAATATAGAAGCCTAAAAGCCCAAAGACTTGCCCATGGTATTTTGGGGGTTCCCTATTATAATTATAGTATAATATGCCTCAAAACCCTATTCAAACCATTAAGGATCCCTACAATACAGGGTTCGGGGCCCAAAGTCTATAAACAGAGGTTATATAGGCTAGTTGATGCCCCTAAACATGAGCGCTGCTGCAGGTGGAGACCAACATTTTCCATTTCAGCTCGGCGATCAGCGCTTGCGAGAGCCCTGGATGGATGGATCGGGTTAGGGCTTATATGATAGGGGCTTTGGGCTTAGGGGTGTTTAGGGTTTAGGCTTTACAGGATTTGAATAGACTGGGCTGTTGGACAACGAGGCCTGCTGCAACTAAGGGCAGTTTCGGCTTTAGGGGGACAGTTGAGCTGAGCTGGTCACCACAGCGTGGCACCAAACGGCTCATACATAGTCGAAGAAGTTATATTACAGCAACCCCTAACTTCTTATTACACGGCTCCTACAAAGCCCGGCATAGCACTGTCCCTGCCATGCATCTCTGACACTCTCCCAACTTGAGGACCCACCCAGCAGTTTCCGCCAACCAGCCTGAAATACCTCCTGCGAGCAAATCTCCGCGCACAACGACTGCACGTAATATCCAAATTGTACACTGCCAAAATGGATCCGATGGATGGACGGATGGATGGATGCGCCTGTGTATGGATAGATGGATGCATGGGTAGACGGATGATGGATGGATGTGCGCAAAAATGCATGGGTGTATTCATGCAGGAATGTGTTTTGCACATCGACATGCTTGCATGCATGCGTACAGTGTGCATTTATGTGTTTCTTTCCACCGGTATTCATGTGAGGGTATCGCACATGTATATCTATGTTTTCCTGCCGGCTTCAAAGACCAGCTTCAAGATGCTCAGAAAGGTTGGACAGTGGAGAGACCCGTGGGATGCCACGTATGTTCAGGAGGACAACGACGTGAAGCCAGAACCCGACGAGGTCTTCTGCAGTGACAGAGTGCCGCTGCCCATGTTTGTCGCAAAGAAAGCCTTTGACAAGGCCAACCAGTGGGCAGTAAAGCAAGAGGAAGCCGTGAAGGCGATCCCTCAGTGGCGTGGCAGTAGCAACTTGCACAGGGCTACTGGCAGGCGAGTCTGGCCCCACTTTCTTGAGTGCAACTGACAAGAGTTACGGTTGAGGCAAGGTTCCCCTTCTTGGATCCGGTTTAATTATAGGGCTTATAGGGCCAAACACCCATAAGCTTTAGAACCTAAGTTATAAGGATATTCCCCCAGGCCGACCTTGCAATGCGATCTTAACCCGGGCCCTGATGTTCAGACTTTGGGGCTGGTCCTGCACCGCAAAACCCCGACACCCTCCTTCGGCTGTGCCTAGTTGCGAGCGCCTTAAAGCCCTAAACACCCCCTGAAGACCTAAACCTCTAAACCCCACAGCCGAAAGCCCAACACCCCAAACCCAACCCAACCCAATGCGCTCCCCCCTAAACCCTATAGACCCTAAACCCTAAACCGAAGCCGAGCGAAGTTGAGACGTCGGGGCGGACCCTGGACTATAGACATTTGGGTTGGCGGGGTCCTGTTGTTTGTAAAGGTGCCGTACTGTATCGGGGGACCTCAGAGGGGGCGCTAATTGAGAGAACTACCGACATTCATTCTCAAGGACCGGTGAAGTGACAACAACACAAACTTTCACTCACAACAATCGTGCAGCCGATAGAGGTGAGAGAAAGAGAAAGGGATGTGCATATGACCCTACCTGTATGGCGCGGGTGTAAAGCAGATGTGGGTAAGATACATACATCATACCGCAGAAAATCCCAAATCTAAACGCATCGATCTTAAAGGAGAGCATCGCTCGCCTTGAACTGAAGACGGCCGGTCAGGCTTTAAGTTTCGATGTTCGGTTCTGTCTTGCCGGATGGCATGGGTGGTCAATGAAATTCTTTTCGAGCTGCGGGTTTACGGGGGTGTCTACGGGTTAGGAACTAGGGTATACTGTTTGCGATAGCATCAAAACGAGGGCCTGTTTCAGTCGATTCCTCTGTCTTGCTTTGGAAGCCTGCGGTTGGGAGTTGTGAGCGCAAGGACTCGCCGCGGTCTTGTATGCTGTGTTGCTGCATGCTTCTTGCATCAGTATTTAGCCATGTGGTTCGGCTTTGTCCTAGTGGGCGTGTGAAGAGGCCAGGGTCAATGTAGCAGTCAGTTATGTTAGTGGAACCAACTTGTGCAGCGAAGCTGCGCTTCATGTGTCTGTTAAATCTCATAACCCTAAACCCTAAACTCTAAACCGTGAAGCCTTGTACCCAAAAGTGCTGAGTCCCCAACTGATCTATAACTATCCGAACTCCACACCCCCCTTAGTTGAAAAAAAGCTGCCTCCATAGCAGCATTCATCACACATAAAGAGTGCCGGTAATGCCTAAGCCTCCCTAAACCTGAACCTTGAACCCTACACTGAGCTTCCGTCTAGGGTTTGGGGTTTAGGGTTAAGGGGTTTAGGGTTTAGGGTTTAAGGGTTTAGGGTGAACCTTTACCGGCAGACATCAGGAAAGAGGCACGATGGCAGCTGGCGTTACATATTTGGTCATCCATGGGCTCAGCTTCCGTGGATGCAAATGTGTACAGCTGCTGGGCACGGTTAAGGGTTTCAGGTTTACGGGTTCAATGAGGGAGTGGGACACCGTGATCCCTTAGACTAGATTTAAATCAAAGCCTTAACGTGCTTTAGTTCTAAACCCGCGGATACGGCAAAGTCTTGTTACATCCGACGAAAGGTTTCAGAGCTCGTAATCAGGGCTAGGAATTCGGTTTGACTTGTTGGGGCCCCAGGCTTAGAATGCAGTGGCCCAGTCACCCATGGGCTTTGGGGTTTCAGTCTGGAGGTTGCGGTTTCGGGGACAAGAGTAATGCAGGAGCCTAAAGAACTAGCTCTACTATGCTGGCGGTTCCTTATTAAAGTTATAGTATAATATACCCCAATACCCATTTCTGCTGATTCAGGCCCCTGTAGTACGTAGTTATTGACGTCTAGGATTATCGGGCCTGTGGATGTGCCCTGGGGTGTTTCAGCTGTCCCGTCTAGGGTTTAGGGTTTAGGGTCTTTTGCGTGCGTGTTTGTCCTTTTGCCAGACTGACACTTGCCTTGCGTCGTTTCCAGGATCAGCATGCCACCCGCGTCCAGGTTCGGACATGAGGAGTTAGCGGGGGATAGGGCTTGGGGTGAGGGAGAATAAAGACACAGAGCGACTTAGAGGAAAACATACTGCCTTTTGTTCCCTTCGTCTCAGAGACGGACAGAGAGAGTGAGAGGGAACAAGCGAGAACTTGCATGTATTGCCCCAGACTCTTGAATCCTGCATTTCGGTTGCAGTTTTATGTTCTTGAGGTCGGCGCCCCGAACTTTGAAGCTTTCCTGCAAGCTGAGGCTTCAGCAGTGCCATCAGTGCCTGTGAGAAAGCCAGTCAATGGCCGATTGCATTGCAGCTTCTGTCTGTGATGTCTGCCCATGGGTCGCCTTAATGGGGTTTTCCCGCTTCACGTTGATCATGCGCTTGGGTTTCAGGGTTTCTTCTGCGGGACATGATGCTGATCTTGCCTTGCACCTTCCCGCTTCAGGGCTTCGCGTCACGCCAAAGCCCCGCACCCTAAAGCCCGAAACCCTACATAAGCGTATATCTAAGCCCCAAATACCTCCAAAACGCCTCCCTAAACCCATGAAGCTTAAGCCCTACATAAACGTTTGTTGAAGCCCTAACACCCCCCCAAAACCCCTCCGTAAGCATCAACCCCAAACGTAGCCCCAAGCGCTTGAAGCTCGGCGATGTCGGGTGCGCAGTGTGCGCCGTCTCTCTGGGAGTCGTTGAGCCCCAAACTCCCAAACCCCAGAATCCTAAGAGTTCAGGGGTTCAGGGTTAAAAAAGAGGGGGGTTCAAGATCGATAATATCGAGGCATGTATGGAGCATGAGGGCCATAATTAAGCTAGCGTTTTTGGGGCATTTTAAGTATAGTTATGGACAGGAATCCCGGGAAGAGTACTTGGGGTTTAGGGTTTAGGGTCCGGCCCCTGCATCAACCGTTTCAGGCTTGGTTCAGTGCTTAGGTTTTAGGGTTTGGGTTTTTGTGTTTGGGGTTCGAGTTCATAAACTCCATCCTGAAACCCTAAGAGAATAGTGCCAAGCAGCCCGCTGGGCGGATGGCAGGCGCATAACATGACCCTGGACTTAGACCACTTAGACCCCTGCACAATCTAAATCACAATACCTTCGTTTTGGAGTCCGATTGCTTCTTGGCATGATCTGACGAGATAGATGCTTCTTATGATCCTTCGAGGGGTCGGCTTTGCCATCGTGAGCAGGGCATAATGATAATACTATGGGTTCATGCTCTTTTTGCTGTAAAAGACCAGATCAGTTATCTTAACTTAAAAGTGCGACCTCAAGTACAAGAGTACGAGATTGTGCGAGCATGAGGCATCAAGCAAGTAGGCAAGCCGCAATGCCGCGAACATTCCCTGCTTAGGCTTCCCAAGTGTGAGGATGTGTTTCACATGATATGCAGGCAGCTGAGATCTGATTCGTAGTTGGTAGGTACCAGCAGAAAACGGGTTCCTTTGCGCAAGCCACGACTCAATATAGAGGTGCGCAGAATCAGTTCAGAATCGGTCATTAGGTTAGGAATGCTGTCGCCACTAGTCTTGTGTAATCGCACTATACAGTGCACATACCATTATTTGCCCGCTATCCGGGCCCCTCTACTGGACCTATACTGTATCCGAACCAAAAGGCGCCAGATCTCCACGTGTCGCCGGTTGTAACTTGTAACCATTGTAACCCTTACTAAGGGTGCGAGGTTAACTTTAATCAGGGGTCTACACTGGTGCAGTTTAGGGTTTAGGTTGTGTTTAGGGTTTAGGGTTTAGGATTGTGTGTGTGTGTGTATCAGGACGCACGTGTGGCTCCAAATGTTGTCTCCTACACCAGCGCAGTCAGCCGTCGACTCAGTGGACCAGGGCCTTGTGGTGCCGTTTATGGTAGCAGTATGGTATACTACCGTATACTTAGTATGATCTAGTAATCTAGTATATGTACTACAGTATGGTATACTAAGCAGCAACTATACATGAAGGTGCTGGGCTTTTACAGGTTGCATCTTTTCGTATGAAAATTGCTTGCGGGTCGCCAAAATTTGCCCAGTCGTTGATGCACCACCTTAAACCCTAAACCCCGAAACCCTAAACGCTTGAACCTTTAACCTATAACCCTCTGTAAACCCTAACTCCGAAACCCTAAACGGCAACAGTCAAACGATGAAGCCGTTTTACCATGGGTCCTGGACGTGCATGAGGTGCATGAGTAGTTATACGTGGGGTTATATGCAGGGTAGCCACTAGTATGACCCACATTAGGATTAAGGTTAGTGCTTTAGGGCTGTAAGGTAAGAGCCTGGGTTCAAAAAAAGGGCTGTAAGGTAACTATAGTGAAATATACCCCATGTTTGGGATAAGGTTTAGGGTTTAGGACCACTTGTACCTGCCCGTGAACCTCCAAGTGAGGTGCATGTACTCAAGCCAGCCTGTGGACCGATGCATTGAGCCTCTGCTGGTTTCTTGGGAGGCGGGCACTCAAAATACTTGAAGGCTTTTGTCGGTACCCACTTCTGATAGACTACCCTTGGTTGGTGTGCAGAGCGCAATGAACGATAAATGCACTCGTTGCGCTGCATATTTGCGGAGGCAATTCTCACTCTCTGCTGCTACTTCAACGTGAAATGTTCAAACTGCATGATTGCAGCACGAAGCCCCTACCCGAATCCCAAACCACGCAACCTGCCGATGTTATCCAAATGAACCTCGCTTGTGAGCATAATTCTCTGCCATGCGAGAGGGAAAAATCCCAAGCCGAACCCTAAAACTCACACCTGACATCTAGTCAGCGCAGCGGGCGGGAAAAAAAACTTGACACCGACTGCAACTTGGACATATGTGCTTCCCAGCTGTAGATTGACCCGGGACATGTTCCAATGAAGCTCGTTGTGGGCAGAAGTTAGTAGGTGACCACATCGCCCAATCAAAAACAATTAGTTAGGGCTGACAGTAGACAACTTGTGCCCCTACTTTGGGAAATATACGAACCGATATGGTAACCCTTGTGGTGGCCCTTTCTGCACTCCTTACGGACCCTATGCGACCCCCCGCACCGCCCCCTCCCCCTCCAAGAGCGTGCAAGAGGAAGCCTCGAGCTTGGAAGGGTTCGACAGAGCATGTGGCCGGAGCACAGAGACATATCTCCTCCCGCCAATCCCTTAGGAAGGTGCAAATCACGGGGTGCAAACGGGAAGGCTAGGCTTAACTCGCAACTTGCGAGATGTCGGGAGTAAAGACTTCAAGCGGATTTTGTCAACTAGAAAAGCAAAAGCAATTATGTTGTTGTGTCCTCATTACTGTCAGGCATTTAGACTTCCCTGACACCGAATCCGAAAACCGCCAGACGCCCCTTTAGCCCCCTTCTTACCCGATACGCTGAACTTGATAGTTTACGGTATTACGTAATGAACTCGAATGTAATGTGCATGTTGCATTGTAAAGGACATTCTGATTGTCGTACCAAGCTTATCATGTTTATACTGCTGTATGGATGCCGTTCTAACCCCCCGCAGGAAGAGTAGGGTAGGCATTAGGGTTCCATCTGTGAAAAACTCTGCGTGCACGAGACCGCACCAGGGGGGGGCGCAAGGACTTCCTAACGCCTAAACGTCGGCACGTTGGTTTCGAGCAACATCCATATCCTCTGATAAGCTTCTCGAGTCTTTAATTCGGAGCTCAGGACGTTGGGTGCACCAAAGAGCCTGATATAGAAGCCTAGGTATTTACCAATATTACTGTCAGTGTTCCTTATTACAGATATACGAGAAAGGAGCCCAACAATCCCTCGTCTTATCAATACCCTAAACCCTAAACCCTAAACCCTAAACCCTTAAAGGCCCCTACAGCAGACCCCAGTTGAATCATTGTCCGAAGCTGAAGCTGAAGCCTAAGCTCTAAGTTCGAAGATTCGAAATGCTACGCCCAAAACAACGGGAGGCAGTGTCTGGAGTATCCGAGGGTTTACATAGGGTTTAGGGTTTCAGTTTTAGGGTTTCGAGTGCCGAAAAAGCGACACCAGCCCAGGAATCTTTTGGAGGAAATGTCCGCTTCCTCCACGGAACCGAATGCGTTTACGCAGCTTCGTCGCGATTGTGGTAATGTTAGTCCTGTGACGTACAGGGGGGTTTTGCCCTAGTCGTTGTAGCCTCTACACCCTGTAAACCCAAAGCTCCTAAACTCCTAAACCCAGAAACCCCTAGACCCTAAACCCCTTGTAGCGGGCCTTTGGGCTCGTCTTACTCTGGGTTACTAAGGAACCGGTTCGCTGAAAGGATGTTTTGGCGACACGTATATTCTCAAAAAACTTCCTCAAGAGATGGCGAGCGACGCGTAAAACTTCGATGTCCTCTACCTAGACCCTTACATGTACGTTCTTTTGGTTACCTTAGTTTCTTCGTGTATTGCCCTAACCATAAAAAATAGATCATCCCCAAACAAAGGTGCTACATTAAAGGGTCTCGGTGCATCGACAACGGCTTCGGGACCGAAGCTGAAGTCGACCCGCACAGGTCGCGAACAAAATTGAACAGCCTAGAAAGCCCAAACTGCACTATGACTCTCGCCATGACTCCTCAGGTTAACGCATGGATTACAGAATTGCTCTCTGGTAGTTACTACACCCTATAAACCGCAAAGCGTTCGCCTCTGGCCTTTTCGAATGCTAGCCTTCTCTGGCAGAACCCACGGGCTGCAAACACCCAATACTCCTTAACTGCAGAATTTCCCTTCACCCCATACAGACCCCCAAAAAACTTGAAAATTGAGGTATATCCCTTAACTATGAGGGGGATAGGGCTCCCTGAGTCTTGAGGTATAACGCTGCCATGGTAGCCTGCACGATGGCAGACCAATGGGAGATAGCCCTCATGATTTTCACCGTCCCTTGACTGCGGGCAGGCGTAATCACAGGCCAAGCTGCTTGCTTTCAGCTTCAGAGCTCTATGGATTGTCTACATATTTGTTCGGTGATGGGGGGGTATTCGAGGGCTTTCTAGGGTAGTAGTCGTAGTAGTAGTCGGCGTCGTCGTAGTAGTAGCAGTAGTAGTAGTAGTAGTAGTAGTAGTAGTAGTAGTAGGAGTAGCAGTAGTAGTAGCAGTAGTAGTAGGTGTCCTTGGGTCTTAACATTACTTGGAGGTTCACACGTAGGTTATAAGTAGGGAAACTATAACATAAGCATAACCCATATCAGGGGAATTATAAGACTATTTATAACTACCCATGAACCTCCAAGTAGGAGTCAAAACCTCCCTAGGCCCTGAAGCAGACCTTTGTTTGAACCCCCATTCGAGGAGATGACGACATCTGGGACCCAACTGGATGCCTACAGCTACAGTGGCACACTGTCTGCTTGTGCTGCAGGAAGCGTGCCTCAAAGTATTGGGGAGCGTCAAGACTTCGGATGAATATGGCTGAAGCAAGTTAACTGGGAAAAAGAAAGATTCCTATACATGCATATAGTTTACGAAGTCGCGAAACCTCGCAGTGTGAGGTCCAGGGAATCATGCATTGGGTCTCTGGCTCAGGATATGAAGCTTTTGAAGGGTTAGTGCATGCCGCCGATATGCAACAGCGAGACGCTGGCTCCACAACGACTTGTTATTCAATTTGCTTCAAGTTCGCTTGTCCCTGCTTTCAGACTTGTATCGCGCTCGTGTGAACCATCGTGTGTCTTGACGGTTGTGGTCACCACACATCTCGAGATCACGGTTGAACACGGACATTTCGTCTCTACTAGATCTTCTGTCCTCGAACCTGTGAATGAGAACTTCCTGAAGCTGCGCGGATCATGGACAGAGTCTAACAAGCATAACGCCATTCCACAGGGAAACATGTCATCAGTGATTCAAACTGATAATTGTCCTATTCCTTACGGCTCCTTACTCTGGTAAGTAAAATATACCCCACAACTTTATTTTCATCGTATTCATTCATGCACCCATGTTATCCTTCGGATTTGAAGCCAAGGGAGCCTTTGGCGGGAGGGCCTGTCACTTCTGGCAGAACTGTCCGACAGAGGCATTGTCCATGACGCCACTCGACTTGCATCGCTTGTTAGCAGGGCGAGACCCGGTAAATGCTGTTTCCATATGTAGCAGCGTTTACATTACGTGAGAGTCTGAATATAGAGCACTTGTCCTTCTTTTTGCAATGTTGGCCAATGGATTTCGGAAAGTCCTCCTCCTCCTCCTCGTCCTCCTCCTCCTCCTGGTACATGTGCTGCAACTACTACTACCACTACCAGCACAACAGCCACCACCGCCATTGCCACAACGCCGACGACGACGACGACGACTACTACTATTATTACTGCTGCTGATGCTAACACCAGCACTACCACTAGCACTTGCATGACTACTAATACCCATACTCACACTGATACTAACACTGATACTGATACGAATGCTGGTAGTAGTAACATATGAGTCCGAATACTATTACTAATACGAATACTAACACGAATGCCAATTGTAATAGTGATACTAGTACTATAGTACTAATACCAGCATTTAAAGTTATTAATTCTAGTTTTCATACTAATACTACTAGTGAATACTAATACGAATGCTAATGCTTATTTCAATACAGCTACTAATGCTAATACTACATACTAAATACTCATACTAGTAGTAATTCTAATGCTATTTCTATTACTAATACTCATACTTATGCTAATATGTACTAATACGAATACGGACACGGCTACTAACGCCTATACTGACTTACTACTACAGAAAGTTTCTAACACTCCTATCACTGCTTCCTGTATCAGCTCGAACCAAGAGCAGCTGTAGTACACTTGACCATGACTCTTGAAGTGTGGGTTCTTCGAGAAGGACAGGGTAGTGCTCCGCGTTTTGCGACACCCTGAACTCCAAAGCCCTCAGTTTGACTCCTAAATCTAAGAAACCCTAACATCCCAAACCCCGTAACAAAACCCTAAGTCCTAAGTCGTTCTCTACAAACCTAATTAACAAAGTCTCGGCAAGTGTCTCAGACTGCGGAGGCCTGCTTCAATGCGGCGATCTCCGCATGTGAAAAGGCTGGACAATGGGAGCTGCTCGTCTCGTTAATTGGGTTTGGGGTTGCAAAAGGGTTTAGGGTTAGACCTCGTTCAAAAAAGGGTTTAGGGTTTAGGGTTTATGGCATGGGTGGATTCGGGGTCTGGGATAATGTGGACCCCTGTTGAATTATACCCTTTTGGCGGGCTATACTTTTACATGGGTTTTTGAGTCTCAGGTCCCCATTGTTGCGAATACGGATGTGTCTAGTGCATTTCACAGGTTCATCTGCCATCGCCCATCCAACATCCCGATACCGTGGGTATTGATGAGCATCCTGGGCACCGTTGAGGGCTTAGGGTTTCTACGATAGGGGCCTTAATAATTACCTATATTATTTTGGGGGGCTCCTTATTATAATTATAGTATAAGGGGCCCCAAAATCTTATTCTAATTATTAAGGCTTCTACATGAGGCTCCTCCAGCCACGGTCTTCGGTTTGCTCAGGCACGCCATTGCGGTGCTGGAGCTGATGGAGCGCGCGGTCGTCACAAAGGACCTCAGGGGGGAAACGTCGGTGCGTTCGGTACTTGCAGCCATGTGAGGCCCGACTCCTCCGAGCTCAAGGTTTAGGAATGTTTAGGATTAGGAGTTTAGGGTTTAGGATTTCGGTTTAGGAATGTTTAGGCTTAGGGGTTTAGGGTTTAGGATTTTGAGGATATTCAAGTCGCCCCCCCCCCCCCCTCCATTCCAGCACTTTGGGCCCAGATGCTGCAGGATGCGATCACCTACAATGCGTCTATCAGCGCTTGCGAAAAGGCGGGTCGCCTTGAGGACCCGAACATGTCAGACGCTGATTCTTTAGGGTTTAGGGGTGTAGGGTTTAGGGCATACGCATAGCCCAGGTGTAAGAATCTGTAAGAAGGGGTTTAGGGCGTGTTTGGGGTTTAGAGTTGGGTATGGCGGCCGGGGCGTAACACAGCCTAGGTTTCCGGGATCATGTAGGGCGCAAAGGGTTTGGGGTGTACGGTTTGTTGTAGACTGTGTACGGCTGAAAGCGTAGAAAGGACATAGGTGTCAAAAGGGATCGAGCCCGATACCGTGTGTGCAGCCGCTTTAGGGACCTGATGTCTCGGTTAATATAGGGGCCTTAATAATTAGAATACGGTTTGGGGTATATTTTTACTATAAGTATTATAATAAGGAACCCCAAAACCCTATTCTTATTATTACCCAACGAAATTTATAGTTTTATGCACCTTCAGCTCTTGCAGGATTGCTATCATCTTTGGACATAAACGCATTAGTTTAAGGGCCTTCATACGTAGAATCGGACTTCGAGGTATATTTATAGGACTTCTATAGGAGTGGTAACGAAGTTGGTCCCCAAGCCTCAGATGCAGTCCCAGCACTCCCCTGCTTTTGAGTTTCCTGGTGCTATGCTTAGCCCCAAAGCCTATAAGCCCTAAACCCTGGCCCGGATCTTGCACTAGGCCCAACCACTGAAGAAGAAGCTAGGGGCTAGAAGTTCAGGGGGGTCTATTACGGGTCTATTTGTCTTTAGACTTGATGTTCGGTGGAGGCAGGGATTCAGCCTTCCTGAGGGAGCAGTGCTCTGGAGCTGGAGCTTGTGTCACTTGCAAGCTACGATCCTCGATGTATTTCCCCACACCCGGCGAGTTGAGGCTTAGGGCCCAGGGCCAAAGCCCTTGGGCGATTTTTGTTGTCACGCGCAGGAAGGCATGGTCCTTCTACGTAAGATGCAGACGACGGCCGTGCCGGCCGATGTGATCTCCTACAGCAGCTTGATCAGCGCTTGCCAGAAGCCCCATGGTTGCAGATTGTACCTAAGAAATGAGGTAGTTTGATGGGTCTGAATTGGTAAGTAAGAGCATCCTCTTTTGTAGCCCCTCTTGTTTAGGTATACGCAGAGTTCTGCACCCCCAAGCCATACTTTACTCTAACTATCCCGGCCCCTTCAATGCGCAAGGCCCATGGTTCGGGCTTTAGAGACATCTGCTCCAGCCCAATCAGGTTTATGGCATGCTGGCATCATGGTTCTGACAGAGAAGAAAGAAACCTTCCCCTTAAAGTCGTTTATGCATGCTTTGCGGTTTTGGGTCGAGACACCATCTAGTGGATCCTATGTTGAATTGTTTTGCTGCAGGAACCTTTTTTCTTGGTATTTCTGTTCAGTAGAAGTTGTCAAGGTTTCGTCGGCATTCGTGCAAAGATTTCCAAGTTTCCGGAAGCAGTAGTGTGGGTATTCCGAAACGAGCGGCCGGCAAGCTTGGATGTTCGATCTGATTGGATTGCATTGCAGCTGCTCATATGCTTGTGTGTTCGAATCCGCTCTCTTGCACTGTCAACCCTATAGGTCCTGAACACCCTGATAGGGTTTATAGGGCTTATAGCTTTAGGGTTTACCGGGCCCATATCCACAGAACCATAACCATACCGTGCGCCTTCTGAGGAGTGGCGACTGGCAGATGGCTCTTCACCTTCTTTTCTCGATGCCTGCCGAGGGCATTCTCCCCAACACAGCTGCACGGCAAAATTCAAGGAGGGAGTGTGGGGTTTAGGGTTCGGGGCGACTCCTGACATGCTCAAGACTGCAAGCCCCAGAGTCGCAGATCAAGGTGATGTGGTCCAACCATTCGCAGCTTTGGGCCAACCTCAGCCCTTAAACTCAAGCCGTGCGCATTGCCATCTTCCGGATTTAGAGTTTAGGGTGACTTTGCTAGTAACACGCGAGAATCCCTGGACCCACACAACGTAGCATTGCATCGCAGTCTGTCTGTCTAGTTATCTAAGCAGGCACACAGACAAACAAACAACCACAACAACCAACACACACACACACACACGCATTTGCGCACACACACACACACACTAACAAGCGTTCACAGGTCATTGTACAGTAGATACACAAGAAACAACACACGCACATGCATTCAATCATGCAAGCCTGATCTAGCAAAGTGTAACATCATAAGCCTTAACCTCATACGCTCCCTATTGCAACAAGCTTTGTCAACAAAGGCAGGTGTGAAGGTAATATGTATATTATTTAGAATGCCTCTGAACCCCCTATACCCTAAACCCTACCCCACCGACCTCAGTCCACGCGACACGCACAGGTGGCTTTCAATGCGACCATCGATGCCTGCGCGGCCGGCGTCGCTTGGCCGACGGCGCTGCAACTGCTTGAGGCCTACAACATTGGGCAAGTATAAATATTACATATATTACCCCAAAACCCAAAACCCTAAACCCGTATATAAATTGTAGACTCGTTGTGTCACGCCGACCTTTGCACCTATGGATGCTCGCCTGGCTTGTCCGAGTTGTGAGAGTGTAAACCCATATATAATACGACATACTTGACATTGGAAACGGCGTAATTCTGCCACGTATAATATGTCATCCTTGGCATTGGAAAAAGCGAACCCTTAGGTTGAGGGCCCGGCTTCAGGCTGCCATGGGAGACATACATTCGCGCATGCATGCGTACATATAGAGGTGAATGTGGATATCTGTTTGTCTGCCTTTTTGTGTCTGTCTTTTTGTCCGTGCGTCGGTCGGTCTGCCTGTCTGTCTGTTTGTCTGTATGTGTATGCTGTATGCGTATGCATGTATGCATGAACGAATGAAACAGTGCATGAGTGAATGAATGAATGGATGGATGCATGAATGAACTACATGAATGAATGAGTGAGTGAGTGCATGAATGAAGGAAAGAAATGAATTATTTGAATGAATGAAATGAATGAGTGAGTGAATGAACGAGCGAATGAATGAATGAGTGATATGAGCGAAACGAATGAAATGGACTGCATGATACGATTGCCTGAATGGGTGAATGAATGAGTGAATGGATGAGTGAATGGAATGAAATGAATGGAATGAAATGAATGAAACTGAAATGAAAATGAAATGAAATTAAATGACATGAAATGAAATGGAACGAATGAAATCCAATGGAATGACTGGATGGAGGAATGAATGAATGAATGAATGGATGAAGTGTGTGGATGAATGAATAAATGAACGAAGGAATGACGGAATGAAGGAATGAATGAAATGAGTAACATCAATGAATGGCGTGAACTAATGGAATGAACGAAATAATGAATGGTTGCATGGATGGTTGACATGAATGAATGAAAGAATGAATAAATGAGTGAATCAGTGAATGCATGACTAAACGATGAATTAAATTGAACTATATAAAATGAAATGCAATGAAATGAATGAGAGATGTATGTAGGCAGGTAGGCAGGTAGCTAGGTAGCTAGGTAGCTAGGTAGGTAGGATTATGTATGCATGTATGTATGCTTGCATGCATGCATGTATGTATGTGTGTTTGCTTGCTTGCTTGCTTGCTTGCTTGATTGATTGATTGATTGATTGATTGTTTGATTGATTTGATGGATTGATTGTTCTTTATTGCGTTCTTGTTGTGCTTGCTTTCTTGGTTGGTGTGTCTGTTTGCATCCACGCATGGACGGATGGCTGGATGGATGGATGCGTGGCTATACATTCGATATACAAGCATATCCCTATGTACTGGTTGTTTAGGATGATAGCAACTGCGATAGCAGCCATACTTAACAGGCTCACATGAGTTGGCTTGTGTAACCAATCTAGTCTTTCTTAAGGATAGGGGTGCTTCCCAAAGAGGGTCTTCTGGCACTTGTGGGGAGCATTGGGAAACATACGCAATCATTCCAAATCATGCAAAAACATTAAAGCACATAGATTTGAGTTTTTGTAATCTTTTGTGATTTTAGTGATTTTTTTTTGATTTTTTTTTTGATTTTTTGATTTTTTTTGAATAATTTTGAATTTTGATTTTTTTTTCTGATATTTTGTATATTTTTGTGAATGTTTTTGAATGATTATGTATTTTTCGTATTTCCTGTATGTTTTGTTGATACGATGGCAGAACTTGTGCATGGCTTAAGGGGCCCTGCACTGCCCACACCTGGACATTAACCGAAAAGAAGGAGTTGAA